TAACAAGTATGACCTATGCAGTAGTGCCTGCTAGCCCCTGAAGCACCATGCTGAAGATGTTCCTACATCAAAATTCACCATGGTACAACACATTCCTTCTTTGAAAGTATTGTGGCACTTTAATACAGTACCATATTGCTTTTCTGCTCCCCCCACTGTGGGCTAAGCCCGTGTTCAGTAACATTTGGAGCAGTCGAAGGAAAAAGGGGCTATATCTACCCTCCCGATAAGCAGAGCATCAAAGGGCTTCCTCCACCAGCTCAGTAAATACAACTGAGCAGAGCCACAGCAGGGGAAACAGCACGTATCACATCAAAATACAACAGTATTGATTCAAGGGGAAAAAGGCAGTGTTTGGCAATGGTCTTATATACAGTATATGTACACCCTCAGGATTTAGAAAAGGGTTTAAATGGAGAAAAAAAAGAGAAAATGTACTGAAACCATCCAAAGCTCTAAGTCCCAGTGCTGAATGGAGGAACCAGGTGAAAAACAACATAAGACTTTTCTCTCTTTGTCAGTGCTTCTTGGAATGGTATCTAAGGAGTCCTTAGAGATAGTTCACAAGTTGCTTCCCTCAAAAGTCATTCATTAAGAGAAGTCTTTTTCGGCAAGGCATTGCACTTGCAGAAAACAAAAATATTTTGGACTAATGTAACAGGCACTCATTTACACAGAGTACAGAAATATACCATTATAGCTGAAACCGATGTCAAGGGATCCTTCAGGAAAAGGGAATTTGTGGATAAATACATTACAAGTAACCAATCAAGTAAGATGAACTGAATGACCTCTACACTGATATTCACATTACACTTCAAACAGCACAAGCTGGTGTTGAAACAGAAACCACACCGGGTGGAGCAGTGGCACTGTGGCTAGGGATCTGCACCTGAGGCTGGAAGGTGGCTGGTTCAAATCCTGTAGCCAGCAGAGGAATCCTACTCTGTTGGGCCCCTAAGCAAGGCCCTTAACCCCAACTGCTCCAAGTGTGCTGTACAATGGCTGACCCTGTGCTCTGACCCCAAGTGTCTCTCCCTGTCTGTGTGTCTCCTAGAGAGCAGGTTGGGATATGCAAAAAGATGAATTCATAATGCAAGAAAATGTATATGGCTAATAAAGTGATCTTATCTTACACAGGCTGAGTTTTAGAAACAACAAATACTAGAGCATTTTTGTGAGATTTTTTTTTGCTCTTAACACAGGTAGCAATGCAAAATTGGGTTGTGTGTGTTTGTGCGGTACGAAGGTCTGCTGAAACCTTTGTTAGAGTCAGTTGGCATCACCAGCTGAAGGAGGGCATGGAAAATATGAGAAATACTACCTGAAAGCCAACCAAAAACTGTCAATAAAGGAGCAGAAGACCATAAGAACAGTTCCAAACGAAAGGAGGCCCGTTTATTAGTTAGTAGCTAATTGATCCAAGAGTCTCATCCAGTTGCTGCAAAGGTATTGGCTTCAACCACGATACTGGCTAACTTGTTCCATCCTCCTACAACCCTTTGGGTAAAGAAGTGCCTCCTGTTCTCAGTTTTAAATGCACTTTCACATAGTTTCCACTGCTGCCCCCCTGGTTCGTGTTTCGCTGTTTATTCAGAAGAAATAAAGAAAGGCAAACTTCACCCAGCTGTCCTTAGTTTGGACAGTGTATGACAGTGTTCACGTACTTTCGATAGCCGAAAGGTAGTCCAGCCTTCCTCGCAGCCCCTGTAATTCGATTGTTTTCCACAGAATCCCGCATGAATACTACATGAGGTACACGAACACTGTCATGTAATTTACCCAGCTGTGTTCAGATGCAGATTGTGTTCTAACGTGCTTTGTGATGGAGCTCACCAGTGAAAGAAGTTACGTTCCACTGATTGACCGCTCGGAAAACTTGATGGGGTGAGCAGTTTACTGGGGCTAGGGGCTTTCAGTGATGCAGCCCGTGCATTGAAGTTTAAGGTGGGTGGGGGGAGACAGAATTGCTCACCACACCCCTCCACTTGCTGAAAGCCTCACCGTTAACACCTGAGCTCAGCTTTTGTTCAGGGCTGCCTCGTGGTATTCTTTTCACATTTAAAAAAAAAGGCCCACATCTTCCGCGAGCACAATAAGATTAGAAAAGTCACATATCAAGCATGTGAAAGCCAAACCATCATGATAATGAGTTACTGGCCCTTTATACTGTCTTCTACCAGTGTAAATACAGAGAAAACCTACAGTTGCCTGCTATGATACATGACTTAACACCAGGATGCAGTGCCCTGTGTCACAATCTTCAGGGATCTCTGATATCCAAAACATACGCATGCAACTTAAAAATGGTGCAAAAGTCCCTATGATGAGGTTGATTTATTCATCTGACATCCCCACACTTTACAAAAGCAGCTTCTAAATGGATTAATATGACAACATCACCCCAAACGATGTCAGATCTTTCCATACATATTATACATGTGTACTTCAGTAGATTGAAAACAGACCAAAGAGCATGTTACCCTGTGACGTGTTTCTCAAATTACTGTACTTTTCTTTGGAAAAGCGAGTTACAGAAGTAATGGTATAAATATACTAAAATTTAGCTTTTTAGCATTGTGCTCATTTTGATTAATCCTTTTTAAATCAACACGTTTGTGGTAATATGTTGACCAATTGGCACTAAGATATTCCTCTTACATTGGCATTAAAATACATCATTCCAAATTAATGCAAAAGCTTTAGTTAATTGATAATTGTTCACTCGATTTTGAAGCATTTTAAAAAACACTTGTGCTGTACAATAATGCACGCAAAGCACACTTTATAATTTACAAAAAGAGAAAAACAGGAGTATAGCAAACTACCCCCAATAAACCCCAAGAGCCAAACTAAATTATACATGAAAAGCTCTAGCAAAAATATAGGTCTTTAAGCGAGTTTTTAAACATGTCAGCAGTTGCAGAGGGTCTAATGGACACAGTGCAGTCGGTGTAGGAGAAGACTACACTGTGCCCATTTTGTGGAGCCTGGTCTTCAGCACAAAAAGAAGCCTTGAATCAGCAGGTCTCCGATTAAGTGTTGGACTATGTTTAAACAAAAACCCTTAAAATAACCCGAAGCAACATCATTAGGTGCTTTATACCTGAGTGGGCGATCTTTGAAATCTACTCTGAATTTCACAGAGAGCCTGAGCAATTTACAGAAGATGGGAGTTACATTATGTGCTGATGCACAGTATTTTTAGTAGATGATCAGCAGAATCCTGGACATACTGACGTCTAATTAATACCTTAGAAGATATGTAGTAAGTAAAAAGATATACCATATCCATGTACCAACATTTCAGCAGCAGCTGAGCGCTCAGTGTAAGAGCCCTAACTGAGCGCTGGGCTAACTTTTCCTAACTTGCGCCTGAAACCCTCAAAAAGAGTTTCTGAATGGCATTAAAGGTGGAACTCTTTCACGTTTATTAATTAATAACTCTTTAATAGGAACTCTTTGCACATATTTCTTATTTCTTTCCATATTTCTTTGACAGTTGTCTGGCAAACGTCACTATTTGAGCATAATATGTAAGTATAACCCTTAATATAAGTATAATCCTTATTTATTTGTATGACCTCCAGTATAGTTGTCTAATTCAGACCCTCGACGAGTATTGTTATTGTGACACTCCGAATATTGATGACATAGATGCACACATCATTAAATAATCTTCAAACTTCAAAATGGCTTTGAGAACTCCTGCTTTTAAGATTTCCTGGGATTAAATTGCTTCACACCTGTTAGACGTGTTGGCATGATGCGGTAGTTCTTCCGGCCAATTGTTTCTCCACAGTGAAAAACGCTGACCCTGTAAATAAAAAAGCATTGCTTTATAAGTGATGCAAAAAATACGTTTTACCGCGATTTCTCCTTGCCTGCACTAAGCATCTACTGTAATGCCCTGTGGTGTGTATGCCTATGTACTGTAGATCTCTGCTCCTTCCCTACGCGCACTGTGTTTCCACCAAGAGTATATATTAGTAGCCACAATACGATGAACTGTTTCCAATTGGTTAACCCTGTTGTTTATAAGAGATCCCAAAGTGAAATACTATATCGGACCGACACGTAAATTGAATATTCTATTAAATCGGTAATAGGTTTTACCATTTACAGAAAAGAAATTATAAACTGAAATAAAAACGATCATTTCAAATACTTTGGCACATGGCAGTTTTTATAGGGGCCCTTTTGGATATTTTAGTAAGAGAGCGAGGTTTTGTCCTGGTAAATAGTCCCATTTAAATGTTAATCTTAAATCACCACCTAAAGTACCGGTCTTTGTCAGCCCCGATCTTTTTTTTTTAAGGAAATCGTTTAAATTAACAACCCCTTTTGCTGATGTCTCCTTTAAAGCTGTCACCCAAAAAATCGGTAATTTCTACACGCAGTGTGACGATGGCCGGCTGTGCCGCGATATGCACACACTCACACCTGTTATAGTATCAGCAGATACAATTTCAGTGCCGGTGCTGTGGATACACAGCGTTCGGCCTCTTTGAGACACGTTTTTTTAAAGCACTTTTAACAATTCTGGACCAAACAGAAAATTATTTTTTATAGAAGCTAAAATGCCCGTGTTGACCGCAATATGGAAAGAAAGTGTAGCCTAGTCACGATACCGTGCATTTTATTATCCTCTCATAACTGAAAGGTTATGTGTTCAATCGCCCCGTTGTCTACAGTGCTGCTACCCTGATTGAGCCTTTACCCCCCAGTTGTTCCAGTCCACGTAAAGTAGCTTTGCAAGTGGGCATCATCACTTCTGGCGTGGGGTATCATATGCTCTCAGTCTACTTATCTCTAAAGTACCCGGGATAAGCTCTGGCCCCATGAGGCGCGCTTACTCAGTTTTAGACAAACATTCCCTCACACGGAACACTGTACGTCCTACAACATCTTCTTTCGTGCTTAAAAATATGTGTATTATCGGCTATCACAAATGGGGCGCAAATTACTTAGGTTAGCACGGGTTTCATTTTGCAGCTTCTCCAATACAGCTCACGGGAGCAGCTCGGCTCGGGTCTGGACTGATAACCTGCCGAAGGTTTGCTCTTTCAAATCAGTTTTTGTTAAGGTGATACTCCGGTCAGGTCGCACAGGGAGGCGTCAAATCATATTTCCTAAGGCAACGGTCTATCGCCCGGCCTCCGGCTGGGAAATCACAATTGTGTAACAAAACACACAAAAAAAGTGTAAAGCAAAACCCAACTTTGCCCAAACACTCATGTACCACCTCCCCAATTTAGAAATTCAAGATAAGCAGGCAGTTTCTGCTGACAAAAGGCTCCAGCCCGTACCCTAATGGCACCACTCCCCCCACTGTAATGGCGCTAGAAGATGCACCAGTGTTGCTGTTGTTCGATGTGGGTTTTGTAAATCCAAAGACTATAACGTGTGTGCCATCAGTGGTTAGTATGGCTATAGCATGACACTTCAGAAAGAACCTAAGGATTGTTCTCCGCAGAGCTGATTGCTTAGAATAATAATGGCAAAGACCGTTTTAAATCCGATATCGGGGAGGCGTAATATCTCTTTACAGGTCTTCGTCAAGCATGCTGTTTGTGATTTGATGGTAATCTTGTAGTATGTGACAATAAACGTCTGCTTCACGCGTGAGGGAGCTTTCATTGGCGTCTGCTGTCGGTCAGCTGAGCCAATTTGTGCGCTTGTGCCTTTCAGGTTGTGCATACGCGCCGATCTTGAAATCAAAGCAAAGTGGGAAAAGGGGCGAATACTGGAGTATTGGTATTTTAGGACATGAACAGCAACGGTAGGTAGAAGACATGTTAGCAGTGGGGAAGAAGCTGAAGGGGTAAAAGGGGCTCTTGAGTGCGGTGTACAGATCCGATTTCACCCCGCAGTGTGATATGGACGGGGTGGTGACAGTTTATTCTTTTTTTTTTTAAATACAATTTCTGAAAGGTGCGCGAACGCTTTCCGACGAGCGAGCCGGACAAGAAGGAGAGGATCACCTCTCGAGGAGAGGGGAGGGGGGGAAGGACACTCCCCCCCCCCTCCAAAAAAAAACTTTTTCAAAAAACTTCCACAGACCCGCCTCCTCGTCTCCGCCGGGCGTCCAATCACCGGTGACGTCCTAAGGAAAACAAACGCGGCGATTGGTCGGGCGGGTGGTTTCCAGGCTCCCCGCGGGGAGGGCTCTGGCTTGTGAATGAGGGGCACCTGGAAACCGACGTCACATTATTGTGTGTTTGTGGCTCGGCGGTGCAGAATAGAGGGTAACATGAGCAGGAGAGCGGAGCGGACGGCTGTTACTCCTGAGCTGCAGCCTAGCGACCCGCAGAAAAATACCTCACTATGAATCCCGAGCCCGAGAGTTGAACGCGTTGCAACTTTACTTTCCCCGAAACCGGCGGCGAGTGGAAGCCCCAGCTCTCCTTTTTTTTTTTGCACGCTTGCGGGAGAAACAGCAACAAGGATTTAAAAATATTGGCGACGGCGGACGGCATTCGGAGCCCAGACGGAAGAAGAACCGTATCTTGCTTTGAATGTGGGGTTTTTTGTTTTCCGCCACGTTTTTAAATCGCAGCTGACCAAAAACTAAAATCGGGGTGTAGGGGGGGGGGGAGGACTCCCGTTTTCCAGCGAGGTGCCATCCTCCCGTTTTTTTTCTCTTCTCTGGGGCGGGCGAAAGAAAATTGCAATAATCCCGCAGAGAGGAGAAGGATCCCGAAGTCTCCCGAGCAAGTGGCTCCGGGGACGCGTCTGAAGTAAAAAAACTGGACTTTTTTTTTACTTTGCATCCTCCGTGTGTGTGGGGTTTTTTTTTTTACATTTTGTTCCGTGGGATTTGTAAAGTTCCGAGATTTCGGGCGTGGGGGGGGAGGGAGGACAACTTTCTGAAGACACACGCCAAGACCACTCCGGCGGCGGCTGATGAGGATTCCGCTGCGCTGAACCCGTTGGGGGTGAACTTGCTCTGACCAACTTGCTCTTTTAGTTTCTACTCCCCATTTCAGTCGTCCGCTGAAAGAAGTGGGGTCGGCGAGGGGGGACTCTCCCGTTTTTCACCGAGCAATTTACTGGGGGTGCTTTTACAGGAGGGGGAGAAAAGTTTTCCGAACTCGTGCTTGACTAAATATGGCCATGTCGGCGAACAGGGATTGGGTTCAACCGGCGCTTGGCGTGCTGGCGGCGTGCTTGCTGTGGTGCCCGCAGCTGGCGGCGGGACAGTATCACGGAGAGAAGGGGATCTCCGTCCCGGAGCACGGCTTCTGCCAGCCCATTTCCATCCCCCTGTGCACGGACATCGCCTACAACCAGACCATCATGCCCAACCTGCTGGGGCACACCAACCAGGAGGACGCCGGGCTGGAGGTGCACCAGTTCTACCCGCTCGTCAAGGTGCAGTGCTCCATGGACCTGAAGTTCTTCCTCTGCTCCATGTACGCCCCGGTGTGCACGGTCCTGGAGCAGGCCATCCCCCCGTGTCGCTCCCTGTGCGAGCGGGCCCGGCAGGGCTGCGAGGCGCTGATGAACAAGTTCGGCTTCCAGTGGCCCGAGAGGCTGCGGTGCGAGAACTTCCCCGTGCACGGCGCCGGCGAGATCTGCGTGGGCCAGAACACGTCCGACACCGGCAGCCCGACCTCCTACCCGACGCCTTACGTCCCGGACCACATCACACTGCCGCCCAGCAGCGGCCGCGCAAACCAGCCGTTCACCTGCCCGCGGCAGCTCAAAGTGCCTTTCTATCTCAACTACCACTTCCTGGGGGAGAAGGACTGCGGGGCCCCCTGTGAGCCCACCAAACCGAACGGGCTCATGTACTTCCGTGAGGACGAACTGAAGTTCGGCCGCCTGTGGGTGGGTATCTGGTCCATCTTGTGCTGCGTGTCCACCCTGTTCACCGTGCTCACCTACCTGGTCGACATGAGGCGCTTCCGCTACCCGGAGCGACCCATCATTTTCTTATCCGGCTGCTACTTCATGGTGGCCGTGGCGTACGCGGCCGGCTTCCTCCTGGAGGACAAGGTGGTGTGCATCGACGGGTTTTCCGAGGACGGCTACAAGACGGTGGCCCAGGGTACCAAGAAGGAGGGGTGCACCATCCTCTTCATGATCCTGTACTTCTTCGGCATGGCGAGCTCGATCTGGTGGGTCATCCTGTCCCTGACTTGGTTCCTGTCGGCGGGCATGAAGTGGGGCCACGAAGCCATCGAGGCCAACTCGCAGTACTTCCACCTGGCGGCGTGGGCCGTGCCCGCCGTCAAAACCATCACCATTTTGGCCATGGGGCAGGTGGACGGCGACCTGCTCACGGGGGTGTGCTACGTGGGCATCTACAACGTGGACTCGCTGCGCGGCTTCGTCCTGGCGCCGCTTTTCGTCTACCTCTTCATCGGGACGTCGTTCCTGCTGGCCGGCTTCGTCTCCCTCTTCCGGATACGGACTATCATGAAGCACGACGGCACCAAGACGGAGAAGCTGGAGAAGCTCATGGTGCGGATCGGGGTCTTCAGCGTGCTCTACACGGTGCCGGCCACGATCGTCATCGCCTGCTACTTCTACGAGCAGGCTTTCCGGGAGTACTGGGAGAAAACGTGGCATATGCAGACCTGCAAAAGTTTCGCCGTGCCCTGTCCCGTCAACAACTTTGCCCCGATGACGCCGGACTTCACCGTGTTCATGATCAAGTATCTAATGACCATGATCGTCGGGATCACGTCTGGGTTTTGGATATGGTCGGGGAAGACCTTACAGTCTTGGCGCAGGTTTTACAGCAGACTCAGCAACAATAACCAAGGCGAGACCACCGTATGAACTGGAGAGAAGTCTGCTATAGAAACTAGACAGCAGAACATTTTGACAAGCGATGTTTTTTTTTTTGTGGCGGGGGGATTGATTTTGGCCCATCGCTCCTTATGCCCCTGAATTCCTTGTGAAACCGAGAACTAGATATAAAGTTGACAGCTTTTATGTTTTTTTTTTTTACTTTGAATCTCGGTATGAAACCGCTCTTCTTTTCCTCGTGGTTACATATCGGCTGAGCATTAGGAACTTTATCATCCGGTAATACAAGCCGATATCTCTCAATCTTAAAAAAGAACGCGATTTTTTTTGTGTTCTCTAATGTGAAACCCGGGAAACTGACTTTTATTGTGCCACGTTTTAAATGCTTTTACTTTATCAGTCTAGTTAAATGTAACATCATGATCACAGCTTATTTATTTTTAAATGTTTTGCTTAAAACGGGCATGTGATTTTTTTCCCCCGTTTCCCTTGATAAGCCGAGATATTTCTTGACTTTTCAGCTAAGAATTGAGCCTTTCGAGGGATGCACGGAATTTTTTGTTTGGGGTCCAGTTAAGGGGCAGATATTCTGGTACCGATTTGTTTTCTTTCTCATTTCTAAAGCCATGTAACATTTAGAATTCGGTAAACAAAAGTGTACCTTACCTATCTGTTTATTATTTCAGGAAAAGTTGCAGATTTTTTGGTCTTTGCTCAGCGGTGATAGTGGAAATTTGCAAGTCCCATCTGTCGTCTTCATAATACTAAATGTTTTGCAGTTTGCAATGTTTTTACAAGGGTCTTTTTGTAGGCTGAAAAAAATGCCTTATGTTTTTCAGTGATGCTTTTTTTTTTCGTTAACTAGTTTTATTATTTTTATGTACGGCTACAGTAACAGCCAGTAGACAATCATGCATTCTTCTGTAGCACAAACCGATGGGCGCCCTGATTTCCATTTTAATTGTGGTACCAGGTTTATATGCATGTGTATAGTTGTAAAAGTATGCAAACTACATTATAAATATTTTGTAAATATTGCTTCACTTTTTTCCTAAAAGAATATATATGTATTTATAAAGTAATTTTGCTGGTTTTTACTTGATTTTTTTAAAAAAATACAGTAAGAGACCTCATTTTTATTGTACCTGTACAGTTTCACTGAATAAAATGATTAGATTTTTAACCTGTCGCATTTGTGGTGTTTTGCACGGCTGTTTTATGTCAAAACAATTCTTTCGTCTTTTGGGAATACCTGTAATATTACTGTTTGCCGTCTGTGCAATTGTGGTGTTACATGATTTTTCCAATGAAGTGTCTAGATTTGTGTCGGTATTTTCACACGTGTGTAGTTATTTAACTTTAATTACCTCGAGTGATGTGGTTTGCCTAATATATACGTCCTCGCATATAACACGTTCTTCTACAATCGAATCTAGACCACACTTTTACAGAGTTCATACATGATGGGGAAAAATTCTCATATCCCAACGTGTTACACTTTTTGCTTCAGTGAAAATGCTATTTATCACTACAGTGTGAAGAATTCAGTCTTAAAAGTAGTATGCTATAGTTGGGCGTAACACAAAAATACATTTTGCTTAAGGCGTAAGGATGGACGGTTGTTCTATCTCACCCCTGCTAAAATTGTTTTAAAATGTTTTTCCAGTACAAGGCGGTGATAACGGTGAGATGTTCTGTTTTGCAAATGTCAGCTCTTGAGTGTTACAAAGGGCTGTAAATTGGAGCATTGCGATGCGGGATTCCTGTGTCTCTTGTTAAAATAAAAAGCAGTTGCCTAAATGCTCAGATCAAAAGAACTTCAACCGGAGTTGGAACTGGGCTGGGGGGTTACGTAGCAGCAATTAATCACAGTCGCGGGTTTTCAAAAGTCTCGTAAAAAAAAAAACCTGGAGAGTGGATTTGGGGTGGACAAAACAGCATATCTCAGGTTGATGTTAGCTGATCAACAGACAAAAACTGCCAGTGAGCTACAATTTATCCTGACGTGTTAAAGGCTCGTATTATAAGTTCCTTGAACCGTTTTAGGAGTAGAAAATGCGACCGGCACCGATGCTCATGAATTGTGGTCTTCTGACCACGAAGTGGACTGAAGCTCAACTGAAACGCAGTATTATTTGAGTTGACCCGGGGTTTCTTGTTAAATTTGTGCTGCCTCAATCCTTTTCCAGTGAATTAATCCAAATACCAAACCCAAATTCCGTTAGAAGATCGTTTTAAAGGGTGAAATTGCTTAGGCTTATTTTAACATAGTATGTAAACGGTAATAGAGGTAGTTCTCTTTGCGCAATAATGTAGTTCTGCTCCTAAATAAGGTTGAAATCGTCCGATTGCCTGACCGCCTTGGAGCCTTCAATGGGACCGCCAGCTCGTAGGGGAACTCTGAAAAGGAAGCGACACATGGCGCAGAAGTTTTTCCTTCGAAATTGTTCGTCTGCTTTTATGTGCTGTTTGCTGCTTATCACTACCCCGTTCTCGCTTGTGCGTGTAGGTTTAACCCCCCAGACGTCAACAGGGTAATGCTGAAAGACTATTCTTCACTCAAAAACACATTTTATGTCAAATTCAAAAACGTTTTATGGGCTTTCACCTTTAGAATACAATTATTTTCCCAACACCGGGAAGATTTCATGTGGAACACCACATCTCTGGTTTCATTTATGTTTTTGGAGCTTGCGAAGAGTGGCGTGGTTGTTTCGTCTGGTATCCACGCAAGACACCTAAAACGGCAGACACAAATGTATTGGGGGAAAAAACGGACCTCTTTAAAGGGTTGCTTTGTCTACACGCCCTGAAACACGTAGGCAACGGGTGCAATCAATGCACCAAGGTCTTGAAACTTTTCAGAGACCAGTGTCCGCGTTACCAATTTGTTCCAACTTAAGCAGGGATAGACTACGTTTCCGCTGATGATGTGATGGTAGTATTGTGTGCTTTCATATTACAATGTTATTCAATTATTTACTTAATCATTTACTTTTCAGAGACCAGTGTCCGCGTTACCAATTT